CTCACCTGTGATGGCCTGTGCCCTTCACCGAGCTGTCTCATTCTCATCTGGAGGCTATCTTCCATCTCCTAGCAGCCAGCGGCACCTGACACAGCTGCGTATCAGGCACTACCATCAATACTGATGGGAATACAGAACCAGATGGATGCCTTCTCTGCCTTGAAGGGTCTCCTGGGCTAGCGAGTGCCTTAGATATAAAATTGCATGGTGTAAGACAGGAACTGTGTTGATAAATGTACATTAAGACATCTCCATTACTGGCAAGGCAGACCCAGTAGCAGGATGGAGCACTGGATGGAGAAAAATTGAGTAATGATGTGTCTTGACATATTTTTTTTTAAGTGATCAAAGTATAGCAGGTACATGGGAGACCCAGGGAGGGGTTACAGTAAGCAGAGACATGTGGTGATCATACTTTGTGTTGCACTGTTTGCGTTCTGGGCATGTGTGAACACTAAACCTCTAAGCCCCCTTCACTTTGGTGAGGCCATATGAAAGGGAGGCTAAAGTGAATAACCAAGGCCAGTGAGATGATCCAGTAGGTAAGGGCACCACTCCCTTACTACCCAACCTGAGGGGCCACATGTAAGGAGAGAACCTGCTAGCTGTCCTCTGACCCCCAAATGCTCACTTTGGGACAGGCAGACAGACAAATAGACACACACACGATAGATAGATAGATAGATAGATAGATAGATAGATAGATAGATAGATAGAGAGATAGGTAGATAGATAGATAGATAGATAGATAGATAGATAGATAGATAGATAGATTGGTAGGTAGGCATTCAGGCTAGGTATGGATAATTTTAAAATGATGAGTCACTTCTGAGCCCATCCTAAGCCTATACAAGACTACTCCGAGTTTTCCTGAGACTCCCAAAACAAAACCTGCAATTTTAGAGATGGTGGCATTTCTGTCACCTGGGGTCCTCGAATGACCATGATGAAAAGAACAACCCACCTGTTCTTGGGGCACATGTCAGTCATACAAGTGAAAATGTATTTGGCTTTCTTTTCCCAAGTCACTGAGATTTAAAATTTTCTTTTAATAGTTGTGGGTTTTTTTGAGCAATATGACATAATCTGTTTCTCAAATTCAGTGCAGCATTGGTGGATGGTCCATTCTTGTGTCCAAAAGGAGCCACTTCCCTCAGGCTAAACTCACTATGTGCGAGCACCTGCTTCCAGTGTTGGTGTTGACAATTGGCTCACCTGTACTCCTGCCTCTTCTTCACTAGATCCAAGTTCAGACTTTTTGCTGCTCTGGACCTTCTGCTTTTGTTCCCCTGTTTCTTTACAGTCTTATTTTCCATTACCTTTCCATGTACCCCACTGTGCCAATCTAGTAACACTATATGGACCAAGCAGGTTGTATTTATATACTTAAGCATCTATAACTATAACAACTAAGGAAAAAGAGGGAGCTAAGTGGGGTGTATGAAGAGGGGTTGGAGGAGGAGAGTGGAAAATGATGTGAATATCTTTTAATTAAAAGTGAAGGAAATCTTTTTACCTCAGTCCACAAAGATTTCCTTCTAGAAATATTTTCTACTGGAAGTAGTTTTTTTCTAGGAGTGTTATAGTTTTAGTTCTTAAATTTAGGTCTACAGTCTATTTCCAGTTAGTTTTTAATGTGTGATGTGATGAATAAACGAGGTTAATTTATTTTATACACATTCTTACTTTGCTCTAGCACAAGTTAGACACTATCTTTTTCCTCTTTGGATCACTTTAGGCTGAGAAGGGAATTGGCTTATTATAGGAATAAAGAGGAAGTCAGTGTGGCCTGAATACAGTGAGGGAGGAAGGGAATGTTGGCTGCTGAAGCTGAGGAAGTTAGGGGCCAAATCCTATACATACCTATGAGCCTTGGTAAGAAAGTTGTATTTTATTCTAAGAAAATTTAATTGCTTCAAGGGTTTTAAGCAGGACATTGCATGGTTCAACTGACTTCTTTTAAATATAAGGATGAGTTTAATGTGTTTTAACAAATCCAATAAACTCACCCTGATAATTAACGAGCAATACTAGAAAAAAAGAATTATTTATTACTATTGCCTGTTTGCACACATATGATGTGTATGGCTTGTGTGCCATACTGCTCATGTAGAGGTCAGGGCAGAGTGTTGTGGAGTCGTTTTCCTTCTCCCATCTTTAGGTAGGCTTCAGGGATTGAATTCACACCACCAGGCTTTCTTGGTAAGTGCCTTTACCTGCTGAGACACTTAACTGTCCTCAGTTATTACTGTAATGTATGGCTTCTGGATACCAAGAGTGAGCTTTACCCCTTTAATGATGTCATTTAAAAAACAGTCAGAATATGTAAGCTGACCTGATGGTATGACATAAAGACCACAGAACATCTCATTTGTTTTTCCTTCTCTAGTCAAATCAACATAAATATTTTTTGGAAGAACATTGCCCAAGCTTTATTGTACAGTGCTTCTTCAAGATACTCTAGGCCAGTGGGTCTCAGCCTGTGGGTTGTGACCTCTTGCATGGCCAAATGGTGCTTTCACAGGGGTTGACTAGGGCCATTAGAAAACACAGATGTTTACATTATGACTTATAACAGTATCACAATTACCGTTATGAAGTAGCAAGGAAGATAATTGTATGATTAGGGGTCACCACAACATGAGGGACCACATTAAAGGTTGGCAGCATGGGGAAGGTTGAGGACCATTGCTGTAGAAGGCCATTCTGCTCAAGAAGTAAATGGCACTATGGTTTGGAGATGACCCAGATATGCCTAACTTGCTTCACAGGACAACTCAAAATTACTTCTCTGACCATTCAATTCCACTCAGTGTTTTCCTCATGTGAACATCATCAGGACTTGCGTTTTTGAGTTGCTTTCCTAATATAAATGACACAAAGGGAAAGCTATGACTTGTCCTTGGAGGCGAAATTTGAGAGATAGCCCTACACCAAGGATGTCCACGTCCTCGTGGAGGGGTGAGCTAAGCGGCTACTTGGAGGTATTTTTCTTCTGAGGTGTAGACTACTTTTAAAATCACAGGAGACTTTCGGCAGCAAGTGCCGTTGCATCTTTGTAAGGTTTGAGCAGTAAAATGAGCTGCTGTTGAAATTTCAGGCAGAATTAACAGGCATGCGTGAAAAACAGAGCTTAGGGTAGGCGTGAGGTGTGGTTTCAGCTTGGACTTAACCCCAGAGGAAAATATCAGATGCATGCTATTCGTCAGAAGAGATCTTACTTCTTGAATTTCACTCAAATACATATTTGATCGATAATTAAAAACTTGATCACTGAAAGAACACAGATACATATTCTGTGTTAACTATTTCAGTTGATCCATATCGTGTTAATTGATAAGGTTGTAGGAGAATAAACTGAAAGATGCCTTAGACTGAGTGACCGCGGAAATTTACAAATTGAGATTTATGTCACAAGAAACAGTGAGCCACTTAAAGAGGTAGGGAGATATTTTCAGGCTAGGTAAATACAAAGGCACCAAATAGGAAAAGATTGGCTTGTAGAGGATCAAGAAGGCCAGCAAGGGTGGAACCTCAGGATTTGTGGCAAGGGGGCTGAGATGCAGATAATGCAATAGCTTGTAAAGCAGGGAGGGGGGGGGCGAAGATTCCTACTGAGACGCTGTTAGTGTATTTTAGGATACAACACTATGGCTGATGGTGACGTGTGGGTTAGAGGAAGGCAAGAGAAGGCATGGGGGTTAAGAAACAGACAGTGAGCATGCTGGGGCAGTTGACCAGGACTGTGGTGTGCTGATGGGGAGGGGGGGAATGGATGCACTCAGGAGCAGGTGAGGGGAGGAGGATGTAATGAAAGAAGCAGGTGGGATGGCTTCTAGGTCCAAAAGGGAGAGCGTCACATCCACAGGAGCAGTTCTTTCAGGGCGTGTGGCCCTTCCTGGCTTAATGCTGGCTTCTGAGCTCTTGAGATCTTTCCAGAATCAGGGAGCTGCACTTCCACCCCCCACCCCATCTTTATTTTCTGGAATTCATGGATACCAGACATAGTGGGAAGGGCAAGTTCTGTGGATGGTTAGGTTTGCCCTGCGTTAAAGTTGAGACAAGGCACAGTCCTTGGAAGGCCTCACAGTTCTAAGGGAAGGAACTTTGCACACAGAGCTGTCATTCCATCCGGTGACTACGAGATACATTCTTCCACAGTTTACAAAACAGAGGTAGAGAGTTTCTTTAAAATACGTTGTTATGATTATTTTAGTTTTAATTATTCCCGTAAGTGTCGGTATATGCAAATGAGTGTAGGTACTTGCTGTGCTGGGAACTGAACTCTGCCTTGCTAAGGGCAGTATGTGCTCTTAATCACTGAGCCATTTGTCGGCCCCTCAGAGAGGTTAACTTTGTTCCAAGACACAGAGTTTGGAAGTGGTTGGACCAGGGCTGGAACCAGGTGCTGTTCTCTGGCTCCCACTTGGTTCCAGAGCTGGGTTACTGTGCGTTCCTTCCCAGGTTATTGATATCACCCACCTTCTACCGGACCCTTCGTGCGGAGGACACAATCGCCCTTTTTCTAGTATGCTGATTGCCTCTCTCACCCCCGAGCTTGCCTAGGACTGTGCTCAGCAAGTGAGCCTGCTGGCGTCAACACATCCTTCTCGCTGCCACACCCCGGGCTTGGGGATGAGAGAGGCAAGGCAGACAGCCTGTTAGCAGGACTGGTGCATCGCCCATCGCTAAGCTAGGAGAAGCAACTCCTCTCTGCCTGTTCATTGCCCCGAAGGCATTTTCCATTTCATGGGCCCTCCCGCTTCGTTTCCCTCACCTTTTGCCCCCCAGTTTCAGCACTGGCTCCTCCGGGAGCGTCCCTGGCCGCGGGGCTGACAGCGCTGGGGGCACGGGGTCTTGTTCTCCGCGCTCTAGCCCATCTGCGCGCAGAGCCTCGTTCTCGGGCTCCCGGAGCCCGGCGGGCATTGACGTCAAACGGCAGCGGAGCGCAGCCTACAGACGGCTGACCCGGGCCCTCCTCCACACCCCCGTCCCTTCCTCGCCCCCTCCCTCCTCCCGGCACCCGCTTCAGCAGGCTATAAGAAGCGGGAGAGTGCGGTGCCCAAGCAGCGACGGGGTCCAGCACCATGGAGAGCTCCCGCCTGCGGCTACTGCCCCTCCTGGGAGCCGCCCTGCTCCTGCTACCTTTGCTGGGCGCCCGTGCCCAGGAGGATGCCGAGCTGCAGCCCCGAGCCCTGGACATCTACTCTGCCGTGGAGGACGCGTCCCACGAGAAGGAGCTGGTCAGTATTGCTCTCGTTTCTGGTTCCCTCTGGGCTGGCAACGGGTCCTTGCTTTGCATGCGTCCCTCCTCCACCCAGTCCCATCCCAGAGCCCCTGAAGCTGGGTTTAAAAAAAAAAATAGCCTGAATACTGGATACCCTCTACCAGACAAAGATATTTGAGTTTGAGTTCAAGGGCTGCGGGCTGTCTGTCGAGCGAACCCTCAGTTGTGGCTATTCCGGGCTCTGTGCGCCTTGGAGGCTCTGGACCGTGAGGGTCAGGACCAGGGACTGCGCCCATCCGACTTCCTCTCCACCAGTCTCTATTTCCCCTTGTCCCCCGAGTCCTGCCTCCCCCCCCGTGGTGTGTCCCGGGCTCCTTGTAACTGGGCTGAAAGTGAGCACCTGCGCTGGGCTCGCAGCCAAGGCGGCAACTTCGGGCTCCCGGCGCTGTGTTGCAGATCGAAGCGCTGCAGGAAGTCCTCAAGAAGCTCAAGAGTAAGCGCATTCCGATCTACGAGAAGAAGTATGGCCAAGTCCCCATGGTAAGGCCCCGGCTCACCCTTCCCTTACTTTTCCGGGAGAAAAGACTGGTCTTCACTCTAGCAGGTGGCCCAGCAGCTAGGTGATGCATTCTGCAGCGTCCCTGTCATCTGCCCTTACCCCTGCACCCTGCCTGGTCCCTAAGAGAGAGGGAATCCAGGCTGTTAGAATCAGAAAACAGTCCCAAGACGCGACGAGGGTGGGGGGGTATTTTCTAAAACGTCTCAGTTGGACGAGCCTTGAATCTATTCACTTCCCCCTAATTCGAGATTTCTCTCTCTCTCTCTCTCTCTCTGTTGTTGTTTGGTTTCTTAAATTCCGTGGTAAAAAGTTTTCAGGACAGGTCACCTTCGTTGGACAGCTTTAGGTAAAATCTCTCTCACATACACACACACACACACAGAGAGAGAGAGAGAGAGAGAGAGAAAGAGAGAGAGAGAGCTTCTGTTTCCTTTTTTTTTTTGGATGAGGAAGTAGGAAAGTAGAAAACAAAGGTAAGGTTATGAGAAATACGTTGTGTGTTTCTTAGATGCAAGGATTTGGGTGATTTTTTTTCCCCTCTTTAGATACACAAGAAAAAGAAGCTGAAAATGTGGTCCCCTCCCAAAGACAGAAGAAGAACGCAGGGGGGCGGGGTGTTCAATCATTTTAAAGTCTTCCTTTAAATATCCTCTTGCTGAAATGATGAGCCCTAGGCTCCCTGAGCTTCGGGCCTGACTGCTTAGGCCGGAGGAGGTGACGGAGGGGAGGTGACGCTAGCGGCCTGGTCGCTTCAGGGAGCTCCCGTGGGACCCCAGTAACCACAGGTTGTGTTGTTGACAGTGTGATGCCGGAGAGCAGTGCGCAGTGCGGAAAGGGGCCAGGATCGGGAAGCTATGCGACTGTCCCCGAGGAACTTCCTGCAATTCCTTCCTCCTGAAGTGCTTATGAAGGGGTGTCAGCCTCCAGCTTAACTGCATCCCCTCTTCCCCCAAGGAGCACTCCCTTATCCCTGGAGTCTGGCTTTAGCAACAATAAAGTTTGCACTCCCCTCTGAGGGCGAATGGGCTCTTTCCTTGCTGTTTCAAAATAAACCATTTGCCATTATTGTGTGAAGGATAATGCCTTGCATGGTGTTGGTATGTGTGCAAAGTATTCTTTTCTCATTTTATCCATCTGACACATTCTTGTGAACCTTTCTGGGAAGAAGAGGAACTTTTCTTTAACACTGTATTTTTTTTTTAATGTGTCATGTCAGAATGAGAATTAGATCTAGTTAATTTTGGTAGATGACATCACAACCTGGAAAACAAATTACCCTAAGCGACACAAATTGAAGCATGTACAAGTTATACAAAATAAAGCATTTTTAATAACCTCTCACTGTGCATGGCCCTTCTATAGAAGTGATTTAAGCAGGAATAATGGGATTAATCAGGCTGTTGTTTTCAAAGAGATATATTTTAAAAATAGCTGCCTGTTGGGAGAGCTGCACCTCAGCTCCAAGGAGTTTTGATCATTAATTAGGAGTGTGCCATACCAGCTTCTGTATACTCTAACTAGAGTGGTGGTGATGGTCGTGGTGGTAGTGATGGTGATGGTGATGGTGTGTGTGAGAGAAAGGGAGGGGGTAGAGATTTGAGGTGACATGCTTTTACTCATTCAGCCCGGTAGCTAGACTGCTTACTTTCAGCCGTGTGCCTTGTCAGAGATACCTGTGTTTGTTGCTTCACTGTTCAGGATAGCCAGGAAGTGAAATCAACCTAGATGTACATGAACAAAAGAAATAAACAAAAGTGTTGTGCTACAGACACTCCATGGACTTTTGTGCAGTCATAAAGATAAGTGAATTGATATTTTCAGGAAAAAGGATGGAACTGGAAATCGTCATGTTGAGTGATAGAAGCCAGACTCAGACACGTATAGGGAACCTATATTTGAAAGTGCGTGTGTGTAAACCAATTAGCCCTCTCTCTATACAAGAAACCTCTCTTAAAGCAAGCCAATGGTTTATTCTGAGACAAATCCAACTGAGTAACTTTTGGGAACATGTGTTTGAGTCACCTTTGATGATACTCTCTGAAATGAGAGATGCTGTATCAACTTTTATAACCACAGGCAGGCAAGCGAGGAACTCTACTGTATAGATTTTAGCTGCTACTGAGCAGCCTCTGCTTTAGGGTTGGTCAAGGCTAGAAGCCCACCAAGCTGAAGACTAGGATGTTAAGCTGGAGGTAAATGTCATGTGTAAAAGTTTCTGTCAAATGACAGTGATGTACTTGTTTGTAGACTCTCACACTGATTAGTAGCTTCTCCATAGTACAGAGGGCATTTAATGAAGAGTTCTCAACCAGAAAAAAAGAGTGGCTATTTTTCTTTTTTTCCTCTAGATGTATTTTTTTATTTTAATTTTTATTAATTACACTTTATTCACTTTGTATCCCCTCTGAAGCTTCCTCCCTCTTCCCTTCCCAATCCCACCCTCCCTCCCCCTTCTCCATACATGCCTCTCCCCAAGTCCACTTGGGGAAGTTTTTAAACATAGCCCATAACAGTTTTGACCGTGTGCATAATATTTAGTCTTTCACAATCATGATGATTTCTCTACTCAGCAATGATCTGGCAGCCTGGGTGTCTTTAGAGGTGTGGCTACTGAAGAGAAATTCAGCATTGCAGGCCAAAAAACAGTTCTTTCAAACCTTAGCCACATTAAAAACTAGATGAAAATGATCTGAACTCTTGTTTGGGCAATTCTTTTCTTTTTGAGACAAGAGTGTCATGTAACTCAGTCTTGTCGCAAAAGCTAGTTATGTAGCTGAGACAAGTTCAAGGATGACCTGAACTTCTGAATCTCCTATCTCTGCCTGTCCTGGAGTTACAGGCATGTGCTACCACAGTCCATTTACATGGTGCTGGGATCAACCCCGGGCTCTGCGTTCTAGGAGAGCTCAAACACTCTACCAACTGGCCAACGTCCCAGCCCTGGAACTCCTTCCTCAGAAAATGTGCATCCTTGTAGGTTGCTCATCCTAAGAAAAAGAGTTACTGCATCAGATGCTCGAAGAGTGCGAGACCAATTCACTTTCACAGGCAGTACACCTGTGGAGAAACTTCTTATCCAAGAAAAAGAAAAGCTGTTTAGATGTTAGTTTTTAGGAGAACCAAGAGGAAATTGGTGGGGTGATTTCAACTCAAGAAATAAAAAAAAAAAAACAACTAAATGCTACATGTCTTTGTGCTCCCCTGAGACTAAAGAACACATACACACACACACACACAGAGAGAGAGAGAGAGAGAGAGAGAGAGAGAGAGAGCCTCCAGTAGCCCAGGCTGACCCTTAACTTCCTAAGTAGCTTGAAGCAGCCCTTGAATTCTGGATGCTCCTGCCTCCCCCTCCTGAATGCGGAGATCAGCAGCAAGCATCACCACTGCCTGTGCGAGTGACTTTTAGGCAGCAAGGCTATGAGAGGGGCAGTTGCTAAGAGCTTCATAATCCAAACTCAAGAGGCACATGCAGAATGGCAGGATCAAAAAGAAAGCTTTGCAGGCTCCCAGGGAGATGGACAGTGCAGGGGAAGCATTCTCCTGTCCCATGGCCACCTGCCACGTTCTCACTGTTTTCATTAGCATGCCTAATCTGATTAATCTTGCAAGTAGAGAGTTACCAGTGTTCAGAGCACAAGACAGAAGCCAAGGGAGATTACAGAATTTGATTGTACACTGCTAAATTGTGACTTTTTTTTTTTTTTTTTTTTTTTTGCTTTTTTTTTTTTTTTGATTGTTTTTTTTATTTTCCTTTCATGTCACTCTGGGTATCAACAGTGAACAGCTACTGTTTTCCCCAAAAGAACTTTGCTCAACAGCTATGAGCTTAGTTAGCAGTCAATGTGTATTTCGGAGGACGAATTTGCATTCAGTTCCCCCTGTGGCAGCCCATTTGTGATTATAATTCGGTGTGTTTTAATCCTGAAGCACTACAAATGATTGTTTAATAGTGTCACAGCCTGCTGTTTTTCCAGATGATTTCAGTTAAAACCCTAACTTCCTCGACCCATTCTCAATCCTAAATCTGGAGAGGACATAGCTTTAGTCACTGATCAGTGCTCAGGCACAACCACAGTAGACCTGTCCAGAACCTTTAACCCAAAACAAGAGGTCCTGGAAGAATTTCACCCTTAAAAAAAGAGTACAACGCTCTTTAAACACTTTAACTGCTCCCCGCCCCCTCCCACCCCACTTCTAGCTCACAGCACAGCCTTCCTTCTTGTTTAGTAAGAACATGACGGCTAATCGGCTAATCGTGGTTGTCAGCTTTGGCACACAGGGAGTGTGGATTGGGGCATCTTCTACTAGTTTGGCCTGGGGGCATTTCCTTTATTGCTGACTGATGTGGGAGGACTCAGCCTCCTGTCACAGTCCACCACTGAAGGAAGTGTAAACTGAAATAAAACGCTTTCCTTCCTGAGTTGCTTTGTTCAGGCAGCAGCAGGAAGCAGCTGTGACAAAGAGCAAAGAGTCTTGAAGACGTTATGAGCAGTTAGTGATGGGGATTTTGTAGGCTGGGTGTGAAAGGCTTTTTTCCAAACATTTTATCTGGAGGCCTCACTTTCGAGTTCACGGCATGAATGACATTCTACACTGATGATTAAAAAAAAAAAAAAACATTTAATTTAAAATTATTAGTTAAAAGTAACTTTACCTTTCTAGCTCCTCTTCAAATAGAATATTTCATTGTGTTTAATTATTGAAGGTCTCTGTGATACAGGAAAAGAAGACTGAAGATTAAGAAAGTTTTAATGAGAAAGGCCCAGGGACTGTGTGGGATTGGCTGGCAGGTCTCACTGTTGATGAGAAGCTGTGGAAGAGAGGACAGCATTGTAAGGCTGGGGGGGGGGTTGCACCCAGCACCGAAGCAGCCAAGGGGGAAGAGCCGCTAGAGAGCTTATCCTTTTTGTGATTTCTCACAGTAATTACAGTTATTGCCTATCTTACACGGTGGAGGGCTGTGTGGGTCACACCCTGAACCCATGGACCTCTGCCCTTTCCTATCGTGATAGGACGCATTGGAATCTGTAGTCAGGAAAGGAGTTTAGGATTCTGTAGTTTGTTTACTTAGAGACAGTATGAATACATAGCCCAGGCTGGCCTTGAACTCAAGATCCTTCTGCACCAGCATCCTGAATGCCAAGATTGCAAGCATGTACACAATGTCCAGCTAAAAATGTGTAGTTTAGATAAGGCCTTGGGATGGTTCGGCTAAGCTCCCTCTGGAACACCGAGGAATTTGTATGTAGTTCATTTCCTCACTCCTTCCTCTTCTCTGCTTTGCATGTATGAGCTGTTGACAACATAATGGAGAACATGACAGACAGTTCCTGTCCTCCCAGAGTTTATAACCCAGTGGTGAGAATAGACAGAACAATGACAATGAAAAACCCCGAAAGCTGTCATGGCAACTTTTACAAAGGATACAGTGGGAGCAAACGGGGTTGTCTGCTCTCAGAGTAGAAAGAGAAGGAGTAGATGTGGTTAAAACAAGCGGTTGGGAGAAGGAGAAGAAAGGCAGAGTCCTTCAGCCAGCGGGATGGATGCTCAGAATTCCAAAGGCAGCAGAGATTTGACACGCACAAGCAGCTGGAAGGTGACCAGTGCAGTGGACTGAATGAAAACATTCCCCGTAGATTCCTGTCTTTGAACACTTTGGTGCGTGGTTCATGGTGCTGTGTGAAGAGGTTAAGGAGGTGTGGCTCCATTGGATGAAATGTGTCGTTAGAGGCAGGCTTTGAGAGTTTGAAGACTGGCGACCTTTCCAGTTTGCTCTCTCTGCTTCATGCTTGCAGTTGAGAAAATTTGAGCTGTCCCCTTCCTGTTTGTGCTACCACGCCTGCTGCCTGTTGAAATGCCCTACCCATCATTACGGGCTCATTAACCCACTGGAACCAGAAGCCAAAATAAACTTTCTTCTATACGTTGCTTTGGTCATACTTTTTTTTTTTTTTTTTTTTTTTTGTCTTTGTCTTTGTTTTTGTTTTTATCTCAACAAAGAAAAATGAGCAGTATAGCCATGGACTCAGAAAGTGAAAGGTTCACACTGACTATTACTCTTT